TCCCTTTTGGGGACTGTTCCTTTGAGGACTGTCCATGTGAAGACTGTCCCTTTGAGGACTGTCATTTGGGAACTGTCCATGTGAAGACTGTCCTTGTGGGGACTGTCCCTGTAGGGACTGTCCTTTTGGGGACTGTCCCTTCGAGGATTGTCCCTTCAAGGACTGTCCTTTTGGGGCCTGTCCCTTTGAGGACTGTCCTTGTGGGGACTGTCCCTTTTGGGCACTGTCCCTTTGGGCACTGTCCCCTCCCTGCAGCCCCTTGTCCCCAGCCCTTTCTCAGTGTCCCCATGTGCTGCTGTGTGTGTGCTGCTCCCTGCAGGGGAGGCCATGGAGCAGGGCCTGCGGGACTGCTGCAGATCCATCCGCATCGGGAAAATCCTGATCCAGAGCGACGAGGAGACGCAGCGAGCCAAGGTGTACTACGCCAAGTTCCCCCCAGACATCTACAGGAGGAAAGTGCTGCTCATGTACCCGATCCTGAGTGAGTGGCTGCCAGCAGCACGGACAGCCAGACTCCTCTGAACCTGAGTGCTGGCACTGAAAGAAAACTCCCACAGTCAGGGGCTTTGATTGGGTTTTCTGCTTGGTTTAGGTGGCAGAGGAGGGGATTGATCAGGACACACATTACTCAGATGCACTCGTGTGAATGCAGAGCAAATCATTTGGACATGGTTGCATTTGGGAGAAAGGCTGAGGTTAAGACTTGATATAAATTTAATTTTTTAAACACAAACAGTGTTTTTCTCACACTACTAAAAGATGGGTTTTTTGACTAATGTTATAATCCTAGAAACAAATGACCTTAAAATTAAATAAAGTTAATGCTAACCAAAAAAAAAGGTTAATCTGGTAAGCATGGTAAGGAGTTCATCAAGATGAGGTAACTTTTCCAGTCTAGGATTTTATTCTATCCTACCTATGGAGCTTTTAATTTCCATTTGACAGTTTTAGATGAGCTTTCTTGCCTCAGGGTTTTTAATAAAATCCACCAACTTCTGTGCTTAAAACCTGGCAGAGTTGGCTTTTTCAGAATAGAGATGAAGTTCCCTCATCAGGAGACAAGTTATCTTGAATTAATACATGCAGAGGTGAGTTTTCCAGAGAGAAAGGACAAAATCATCATTCAGTTGCACATGGATATTCTTGGACGGCCTGAGATAATTCTGTCAACCAGAAGGAAAAATAAAACCTCACTTTTTCCCACTTGACTTTGGTTAGTTCTGGCCTGAACAGGGCTCAGGTGCAGTGACAAAGCACTCTGGTGACATGAACAAGCACCTCCATGTTGGGGTTATATAAATTGCCACACTCTGCTTTAACTACTTCATCTTCTGTAGCCTGAATTTTTTAGGTGCAACTGGATTTATAGCACCTAACTAGGTGCTGACAGTAAACACCAGAGAAATCCTTTGGGATTAAGCCTATTCAGCAGAAGTTCACACATCCTGCATTTATCACAGACTTTGTATGTAACCTTCTGTCAGAAGCTACAGAAAGACAAAGTCAATTTAAAAAGTAAACATCAGCCCAGCTTTAAGCCCACATAGCTGGAAAAAATCAAAATTCCTGCATTTACACCACCCAGCTGGCTTCATCTGCCTGCTCTGGCTCTGCCTCTACTTTGAGTATACAAGGATCTGAGTTTGGTGGGCCTTTTATTTTTATTTTTTTTGCTCAGGTTTAGCAATTCCCAAGAGATTCAGATTTCCTCACCTCACTGCATTTGGATTATTACTTAGCTATACTGTGAATAAGTTATTTTAATATCTTTTTAGAAAAAAAAAAAACAAACCAGCATTTTTTCATCTATCACTGCATACCTAATAAGCAGTTTTTAAAACCCTGGGGAATTTAAAGCAAATTTATTTACCCTCATTGAAAGAAATGTCATTAAACTTACCATGGAAAAGTGTTGCCATTCTCTTTAGCTATACATACAGAAGCAAACTGAAAACACTTAAGTAGGAATTATAACCTGCTTTTGCTGTAGATTTTGGATTTTTCCCTACACTGCAAAGTCCTCTATGCAAATATATTTTTCCCTACAAGCTTTTTGAAAAATATTGCCGCTACACCGATCCTAATTTTGTCAAAGCTGTTAGGGAGATGTGTGTGCACAGGTCATTAATTGTTATTAATGTCAAGTGGATACTGAAATCCATGAAGTGGTTTGGAAAACTCAGAGCTTATTCTGTACCTGATCGACTCTGTGAGGGCATTTGCAAATAAATCCACCAAATGACACCGAGGGAGAGACTTTTCCTCAGCTGTGTGCCCTGGACCTCAGCTCCAAGTTTTTATGGCTAAGGAAGGTGTGAATCAGCAGGATCCAGCTGCCATCTCTGCTCCTCACGGGTGTTCATCTCCCAGCAAACTGGCAAATGTCTGCCTCGAGACGTGAAGAACAATGTTTTACTCCTCTGTTGCTTTGCCATTTGATGATTTTCAAGACTTTTGGTAAGGTTAATCAAGTAAACTTATTTTGTTGAGGGGGAAAGAGACAAACAAAATGACGTGTCAGATGTCAGGAGGCTGTTCCAGGAGCATAAACCATCATTTTACCCCTCCATCCAAACACAATATGCTCCACTTCCCATTTGCTCAATAATCCCTAATATTTTGGTGCTTAGGTTACTGGTGTCTAAACAAAGCCACTTTTATCCTGCTCTGACCTTGCCTGGAATGGATTTTTTTGCCAGGTATCAGTCAAATATAAAAGTGTGCCCACACACTCAGCCATGGGGTGTCTGTTTGGGGGATACAGTTTCTCCAGCCACTGGAATTTTTTAGGGGTTGGAGCACTGCCTACATAAAACATCCATTTGTCGTGGGTCGGGAGCAAGACAGCTTTTCCCAATGATAAATATTTTGGTGCAGTAAAACCACAAAATTGCTTTGTGACATTAAATTAAGTCTTCTTAGTTTTGGTTTTGTTTGTTTGTTTGTTTTATTTTATTCACATTTAACAGTCAAAGCAGAGCTCTTAGGTCACAGTTTGACCCTGCAGTAAATCTTACTGTAATTTCAGCACTGATGCAAAGGACTGGTCTGATTTAAAATCACTCTCCCAACACCAATTTACTTCCAAAAACATAAAAGGTGAACATTCTGAAAACAAGTTTTATGCTCTATTAGGTATCACCTCTCCATCACTCCAGCTATGTGGTGTATCAAGTATCACCTGTCCTGCAGATGTAATGAACTCAATTGCCTCAGGTACTGGTTATTTGAACAAAAATATACTTGGGAACCTACACCTGCTCCAGATGAAAGCAGGACTCCTTCCTGCTCTCCATTACTAAGGATTTTGGCATCTTCCTTTCCTGGTTAAAGACTGTGGAAAGTAAAACTGATGAGAAATATGCCCTGTACCTGTCCCTTCCCTTTTCTCTCACCCAGACACTGTGGCTGCCTTTCAGTTCTCAAGTCTGCCAGGGGAAATTTAAAGTGTGAATATATAAAGACACTTTGTTTACATAAGAAGTTGGGCTTGTATTGTTGAGTAGAAACTCAACTGTTTCCACAACCTTTAAATGCAACACCCTCCTCGACTTGACAGTGCTATTTTTATAATGAGCCACCAAAAAGAGAAACAAAGGTGTCTCGTGGGCTTCCTGAAATGGTGTAAATCTTCTGTAATATGTTTTTTCTCTATGTATTGGATATTATGGAGATGACTTCCTTGCAAGACCTTCACAAGATAGGACTTTTTGGGCATTAAAACGGGATCTTTCAAAACTCATCTGCCCTTGATAATTTCAGCAGTGAGGGGGGGAAATTGTAGAAGTGCTTAACCCTACATAACATGAGAAGTCTAGCATTCAATTAATTAAGGCTCACATGGGGAAACAGGAATATCTTAGTTTTCATAGGGCATGCCAGCTGTACCCTCTCACAACACCAGGTGAGAGGGGGAACTCTGTCATGGTTAGAGAGGAAGGAACGTGCATGGTTAGAGGTGAGGAATACCCATGGTTAGAAGGGCGCAGAGGGTGAATATCCCCATCGACAGACGCCAGTACTGCCAATATTTATTTGGTTTTTTGGCACCATCGGACTTGCACGGAGTCACCTCTGCCCAGCGCGCACACACCTGAGGTGACATGAAACGGCCCCACACTTAGGGGACCGCAGGGACACGGACCCTCCTGCCGCTCCGCACCACGAGCTGGCACCGCTGATCCCCCATGCCCTCCACATTCCCTAGGGGCCGTGACCTGAGGAGCAGCCACAGCATCCCCGCCCCACCCAGCCCCACCCTCAGCCTTTGCCCCGCACCAAAATGGCGGCGGCCCCTGAGGGCCGGAGCCGCGCTCTCTGGGCGGGGCTGCCCTCCCGGGCCGCGCCTGCGCGGGGCCGCGCGCGCCTCCACTTCCGGCTGCCGGCGGCCGCTTCCGGCCCCCCGTTCCTTGGTAACAATGGAGCAGAAAATGGCCGCCTGAGCGGGCAGGAGGCGGCGCGGCGGCGGAGCGGCACGGGCGGAGCGCGGACAGCCGGCACCCAGCCCCGAGCGGCGCGGGCAGCGGCGCACCCACAGCCGGGGCGGCGGCGGCGGGCGGCGGCGGCGGGCGGTGAGCACCGGGGCGGGGGCGGGCACTCAAAATGGCCCGGGGAAGGGAGAGGCCCAGGCCCGGGGGAGGCGGCGGCGGCCGCCTGAGCGGGGAGCGGCAGCGGGACCCCTCAGTCGCTGCTCGGGGGCGGCTCGGCGAGGCGCGGGAGGCTCCATCGGCGGTGCCGTGAGGGAGCGGGGGGCGGTGATGGCGGTCCGAGCGCGGGTGTGCCCGGATGGGCCGCGCTCCGTCACCCCCGGGATCCTCCTGGCGGGGCCTCCCGCCGCGACCCTGATCCTCCACTGGGGGCTGGAGCCGGGATTGTGCTGCCCCCGGGGAGGCCAGGCGGGCCCGGCACCCTCCGGGAGTCCGGCTGGGCTGGGGGAGGAATTGGAACAAGCTCATTTGGGAGGGGTGGAGGGAGGGGGTGGTTATAGCTGCTATCCTGGGCCTCGTCCACAGTTCAGTGCCTGCTGAAGGAATCGCAGCTTTTCAGGGCCGTATTTTCAGGCCGTGCTTCCCTGAGTTGAGGCAAGAAGCCTTGTTGTGGAAGACAGGCGAGAACAACTCTTCCTATCCCGCTGCGTAAGGCTGGATCAGCTCGTGACCTGTTCAAACCTGTGGTGTTTGCTATTCCTGTGCTGAGTTTCTCCCCAGTTAATCACGTCATCTTTGCTCTGTCACTTTAGCTTCCTGTGCAAATTTTTCTCTGCCCCGTTTAATGCTGTTTGTTGGCATTTAAGGTTTCTATTTCTCTGTTTCAAAATCCTTGTCTAAGCCCAGCTGGGTGTATGCGTTTATCTTGAGTGATCTGCTTTAATTGAGGAGCAATATCAGGTTGTATATAATAGTGTGTATATATACATATTTATATAATGTAGTGAGATTTAAGGTTTGTTTATAAAACTTGTTATGTCTTGATTTTAGTGTGCAGTAGAAGCCTGCCAAAAGGTTTCACAGCAAAAAAACCCCTGAATTTTCAAATTAATTGTTTTGCTGTTTCTCAAGGAGGTGGAACCTTGATACAGAGAAGCTCCTAAACAAGAATGCAAACTTGATAATACCCAATAGTATCATCATATATCCCATTTATTTTCTTGTCCGTTTTGGCAGTATTGGGTAATTTCAACTTGAAAATACGTTTCAAATGTTAAAAAGAACTTCTGACACTAATTTGTCCCTGAATTTTAATTGCAGCGACTTGTCAAGTCTTTCTAAAACAAATGAACAGTTGGCTGATTCTTGGGCAATTAATTATCTTAATTGAGGGTCAGATATTTAATTTTGTTGTAGTGGTCACCTAGCACTTAAACTGACTATTCCCTCTACAGGTTTACTATTTTGGAATTAAAATAATGATAGCTTGGAATTATGTCCTGGGAAGGGGAAACACACCACACATTATAAAATTAAGGGTTTCTTGTTATGTTAGACCACTAAGGCACAACAACTGCAGTGTTAGCAATTCTGTCTGGGTAAATGTTTGCCACTGAAATAACCACACACCAGTATTTTTCAAGCCTGTAGTGGTTGCCATCTGTATCGTATTTATTTTCCATATTACTGAATTCCTGGATGAGAGTGTTGCAAGTGTCTGCTCTCCAGTGTGTGTATTTAGGTTTTTTTAGAGAAGTGGATAGTGTGATCCTTAGATGGAAGTGTTTTCAAAACACCTCTGTATCAATATACCTGCCTTGCTTGTTCCTTTATTCCTCTTCCCTGTGGGATTGTATCAGAATAAATCCCTAGATCTTAGTAAAATCATTCCAGTTGCAGTGGAAGTGTTGTACTTTTTTTTTTTTTTTTTTAGCAATCATAGCACAATATAACATAATGTTATGACTCCATATACTTGAGTCTAAAGATTGCATTTAAGTCCAGCCTAATGTAGCTTAACACATTACTGGAGTGTCCTAAATTCTTTTTTTTCCTAGAGAATTTGAGTTTCCATGTGTTAAAACACTTGAATCCAGACATGATTATTGGGTGTTTATCCAAGGTTTTGTGGTTTAATCTCAGTCTTGGTGAAAACTTATCAGCTGCTGAGCTTGCAAAAATTGTTTGTGGAGGTTTAAAACCAAATGTGAACATTTTCGTCTTCAAGTACTTTCATGAGAGCCTTGTGCTTGTCAAAACCAAAACTTCTAAAGAGTGTAAGAGTCATAACTTAGTCAGGAGCTTTGTGTGCAGAGTAGGGATAGCCGGGAGCATGCCAGGGACTGGTTTTGCCTTTGCACAGGTTCTGGCTGCAGGTAAGATGATAAACACAAGCCTGTGTCTCCTTCAGACTGCTCAGGTTTGTATTACCAAGGTACTTGTCAGGAGCTTTTGGCTGCTGTGCAGTGTTGAGGCTCAGCTTGTGACTCAGGGAGGTCTGCAGGGTTGGGTGGTCTCCTAAAGCCACCTGATGATTATGGAATGTTGGAAAAGCCAGCACACATTTTAGCTCAGTAATTTAAAATCATCTCAGAGAGCACTCTGGGTTTTGATGTATGTGCACATAGTCCTGTTAGAATGCTGGAGCTTCCCTGCCTTGGGACAGCATCAGAAAAGGAATTCTCATGGTACAGGTGCCTATTTAAATTCAAATAAATTTACCTTCATTTTATTTCCCACTTCTGTGTTTGTTGGGCACCGGATATCAACAAGAGCAGGAGCGCACGGATCGGAATTCCTCTGTGGCTTGTGGTTGCAGTGATTCTCTGGTTGTTGCTCTTTCACTGTTAGCAGTGCCTGCATTAGCAGCAGTTGTGTGGAGACAGCAAGATTCAGCAGTGAATTTAAAGATGGGTTTTTCTTTTTTAGCTGAAAATCAGTGAGTGTTGAGTGTGGCTTAGTGTTTTCATTAACCACAGCTTGTGTTTCTTCAGGAATCAAAACTCTGCTTGTCCTTGGGTATCAGTCCTGTTCTAGTGCTATGTCTCAGGGTCAGCACTGGTTACTTGTGTGCAGCTTTTCTTCTTCTTTGGAGTTGAGTGGGCCTTCTGCTGCTGACTCAGCAGCATTTCTGGGCTAAAAGAGCATTATTTCATGAGCCTGCAGTGCTGGAAACTCGCTGCACCTCATATACACCAAGTTTTCTCTTCTGTGCTATCTGAATTTGATGGCTAAGGCAGTGTTATCTTAATTTTATTTTCCACTTATATGTGAAAAGTGTTGTTTTAGTAAGTGCAGATGATAAAAGGCAAAGCCCAGCATTTTGGCAGTTGTTACCACATTTTATTTTCAGAGCTCCATCTTGGTTCCACATGCTCTCAGTATTCTGGAATTGCTAAGCTCTGCCCTGATTTCCTGACTTCTTTCTGACTTATCAGGAGTTGTTAGTGTTTCTCTTCTTTATCTCAACAGTTGGTTCAGCTGAAGTGTTTTTCCTCTCTGGTTTGTTGGTTTTTTTTTATTCTGTGGAACTTTCTGCCAGTGTTCTGCAAAAGTATTCATTTGCTTTCTATTGTTTGAAATGTATGTTCAGAGTGACATCTTGTTTGAGGGCCTTTGCTTTGAAACACACTGGGGTACTGAAAAAGCTGAATTGATGTTTAATACTCCTTGTTTGAGTGGCATTTAAATTTTACAGCACTTTTCACGGAACACTTGCATAGACCACAAAACTTTCTTCCAGCTTTCCATGGGTGGTGCATGTTTCATGATAATTTTTGAGTTAAAGAGGATATAGAGAGGTCTTGATTTTTAAAACTTGTGGTAGTTTTATTAAAAATCTAATAAGAACCTAAATCTGCTGTTCATCCCAGTGGAAATGAAAAGCCAGAATAGCAGGGAAAAAAAAAAAACAACCCGGAATTCATAATGCTACTTTGAAAACTAGAAAAGTTTGTTCCTTTTTACTGAGATGGAGATGAGCGTTTTGGACCTGTGGTATCAAAGCCTTCGATGTGATCACAAAAGGAAACTTGTGCACCTGCACAAAAAGAGAAAGCCAAACAAACTTGACATAATGAAGCTCCATGTATAATGCAAATAGATGACTTTCATTTCACTGTCTTAGGGTGCCTTTTTCATTTAATGATGGGATTTACTGACAGTTTTTGCTTCTGCTTTTGAGCTTGCAGACTTGAGTGATGAAATATTTAAGATGAAAATGTAGTTTCTGTTAAAACTAGTTGGAAATAAGGCATGAGTATTGAGAAAGTGGATACTGACTGGCATGGAAACTATTTTTTAACTTTGAATTCTTCTAGGAAAATGAGGTGGGGTGTGTTGGATGAGTGCTGTGTGTGAAGTGGGTTCTGTTTGTGCTTGAAGGAGCCGGGGTAGGAGGACTGCCTGTTCTAGCTGCTGTTCCTGTGTCATTTGAGCCATGGAATTGCAGCGAGGGCTGGCCGGGGCCGTGCTGCCATGGCACGTCAGAGCTGCTGAAGTCACAGTTCGTGGAAAGCTCCTGGACACGCAGCTGTGCCCTGCTTCTCTCCAGCTCAGGTGGCTTTGAGGCATGTTCACTGCAAGCGGGCAGGGAAAATAGCCTCTAAGGACCCAGAGCAAAGCAGTCAGTGCTCCTGGCTGCCATCCTGAGTCACTCCTTTAGTCCAAGGGGTTGATCAGCAGGTAAGCAAGGTGTGCTACCGGTTGGAGTAGCTAATTAAGGTGAGGGCATGAATCATAAATGAGAAGTTTGCCTTCTGCTGAGGACATCTCTGGAACACCCACAGTGCCATCCTCTTTTTTTGTTTATCCAGAGGTATTAACTGTGTTGCTGGGACGTGAGGTAGCTCAGGTAACATTCCTGCTACACAGGGCACGAGACATTCTCAGGTGAGGTTGAAATACTGGTAACACCAACATGAGGCAGTTCTAGAGGAACTTCTTGCACACCTGACTCATGAGCAGCTGAGTTGTTTCTTCAGTTTAATTAAATTCCATGCCTTGTCCTGTTAAATTTTGAGGCTTGCCCCATAAATCTCATGAAGATTTTAATTTTAAGGTATTGCTTTTTCATTTAACCCTGCCAATGAGCGATTTCAGGGTTTGTCTGATTTTCTAAGTTCTGCCTAGTTGATTTAATGAGAGTTCTGATGTTTTATGGGATTTCTTTTAAATCTAAAAAAACCCAGAAGTGCAGGCTAAAGTAGTATCTTGATGTTCAATACGGGATAACTAATGTCAGGTGATATTACACATTATTGAAGGAGGAAGAACTAGAAATTTATTACTGTGCATTATTGTCCATTAGTACTTTTTCTGGGAAGAATCCTGTAGTCCACAAGTGTATGCAATATGGAGATAGATTGTGCTGCTGTTGAAGGTAAATGGGTGACACACACACGTTATCCCTGCTTGTTGTCCCACTGGATTTGAGGCAGTAGCACATTCCTGACTGGATTTAGTTTGCACACAACGTGGCATGAAAGAAAACAAAATATTTCTTATGCTGTAAGAATGATAACTTTGCATTATTGAGGGAATATCCAGTACTCTTAACTTGTCCCTATCAAAAAAAACCCATAGTATTGCTTCCTCTCGAATAAAAGAATGTAACAAACAATAGCTTTTGTGAGCTTACTGCAGTCTGGAGCAGCAGTGGGGAGACAGGCAGTCATTTGTGCTCAGAAATCTCTGAGCTTGTTGAAGCGTGACTGCAGGGAAGATACTTTTCTGATTTGTGGCAAGATAGGAACACCAATTAAGAATTCACTGTAGTTACTCTGTCTGGATACTCGGCTGCTGAAGATTATTTTTTTTTTTTTAAGGAGAAAGTTGTTTATCCTATCTCTGATTCTCTTTCTTTGTGCAGTCTTTAGGTGGTCACCCCCCACTTCCCCATAAAGACATTTTCATATCTGGGTGTCTCAGCTGAAGTTGGCAATAATCAGCAGATCTGAACTTCCTGCTCATAGTTGTGACCTTCCCCACCCTGTGTCAACTCAGTGCTGACAAGGAAGGATACTAAAGGAGGAAATTCTGAATCTTTTAGCTTGGATAAGAACAAGGTCTTACACTGGAAGAAAGAAGAGCAGAGTTGAACCGTACCTGCTTATTAGATAACCAAATGTTGGTTATTTTGTTGTAAGCTAATAGTACACCTGTTGGTTTTCCCTCATCAGGCTTCCCTGTATTACTGGCTTCCTCCAGCCAGTCTGAATTGTCTGCAGGGTGTGAGCTGAGAGCAGCATCCTGAGGGGCAGATTTTCAAGTTGTTTCTGCCTCTCTGCACCAGGCCATGGTAACTCCCACCATGGAAATCCTGCTGTCCAGCCACATGGGCTCTCTGGAGCCATGCTGAGGCAGGAACAGTCCAAACGTTCCAGTAAGTTCAGTCTGGCCATGGAGGGCTCTGCAGCAGGCTGGGAGGTGAGGTTTAGGTTGGACAATGAGCTGAGTGCACAGGGAAGCAGCAGAAACCTTGGGGTAGAAATCCTGGTTTTAATGTCAGAGCTCTGCTTTGAGGAGTATCATCCCATTTGCTGTCAGCAGTCAGGTAGGGAGAATGTGGTGTTGCTGTGTTTCTGTGCCATCTGTATTTCCATCAGTGTAAATATTCCATAGGGATTCACAGCATTTCTGGGATCATGAAGTCGGGATATAGGTGACTGGTGTAACCTGTGAGTGGCTTGCAATAGGAAAATACAGCAGTTTGTCACTAGCAGAAATAGTCCTCGTGTAAATTAAATTCTTCATTCAAGATCCCACCTCTGAGGCTTTTTTCTTAGCAGTAAATTCTACTCAGCCTTGACCATTTGCTGGTTTTATGATTTAAGAGGGAAGAGAAGAGGTGGTGGAGGGGAAAAGAGGAGCAAACCTGGAAATAAGTAGCACTGACTTATTCCAAGCATTTCCTAAAGAATCGCCTATTGAACTGTACATCAGCCTGTTGGTAAAGAAGAGATTTTTAAATTCCACCCCTCCCTCTTTGAGTTGTTTTGACTCTGCCTTTTTTCATGATCAAGAATGGTGCCCTTTCATTTTCTGAAATGGAATAGGCAAATATCTGTGAAATCACATAGGTATTAGATAGCCAAGGTACCTGCAAGCACTGCAATTTTCACTTAAAAGGAAAGTAGTAAACAAATGTTATGTTTTGTATATGTAGTGCATCCTTCTTTTTTAAAAGTTATGGAATAATTAGTCTGATGCTTACAAAGGTGTTTATATTGTTAATATCTTTCTGAAAACATTCCACGTGTTTCCAAGTTTGATGTGTATTCCCCCAGAACTGATGCATCTTTCAGGGTTTTATTTTGGATGCAAGTCTCTCGTTCTACTCGAGAGTTTTATTCAGATATTACCAGAACCAGTGAGAGCTGCTTTTAAAAGTATCTTGTCTTTAAGTAACGCTGCTTGGAGTAACAATTCTGCTACAGAAAGCTTGTAAAAAAGTTGATTGAAGCTGTGTTCTCCTTAGAAATACGTGCCTGGCATGTGAAGGGCATGGAGATTTCCTAAGTGAGCCGGGTCAGAGCTGAACACACCTGCAGGAACTATTGCTCAACTGTCCCGTGAATGGGGTCATTTATCGGTGTTTAACAGCTCGTCACAGAGCACAACACGTCACATGCCAGTCTGCAGTCCTTAGATTGCACCAGGAATTTAGAAATGCAGAGGAAGCTGATAGGCTCCCATCTGACTTGGGAGTGACCCTGGTAATTGCTGCTGCTTCCTGATTCCTGAAAAAACGGAGTAATTGCTTTGGTAAAATGACAGAACTTCACAGAACCAAACAGCATCGGTAGCCCAGAGTGGCAATAAGTTAATATCACAAACCTAAAATCAAGTTCTGCTGCATCGGAACTGAAGACAAAGGGTCAGGACAGCAGTTTCATAATTTGCAAGTCTGCAGTAATTGGGATGTCCTATCCTGTGGAATTTTTCTGGTGCTGCACACCGAGGTCGTCAGTGCACTTTAATTTTCACCATAGCAGCTGAAATAAAGTGCCCGTGGAGATCATGCAGTGCTGCTCTTCTGGAGAAGCACTAATGTAAACTGTGGGCAGTCTTGACTTGACAGCTGTGCTGACAAACCAAAAAAAGATGCTTTTTGCACTAGACAGATGTCTGTGTGTTGGAAATTTTCCAGTGAGAAGCAGAAAAGCTTTATTCTTCCAGTATTTCCATGTCACATGAAGTATGGTTTAAATGAAAGGAATGTTTTCTGATGGGGAATGTTATTGCAGAGCTTTTTAGCATGCAGAGGATTAGCTTCTTAATCACCTCTCTGAGTAACTAGATTCTACCAGTTGTACAGGAAAAGTCTTGGTGCTCTGAGTAGTGAGGCAGAGTGATCAAGGAAAGTGGTTATTTTATCTTCATTTGATGCATTTGCATGGCACAGCCAGTGCCAGAATGTCTCCTGCATTTGCATGTGTTCCTTATAATATATATCAGATACAGACACAGCATCCATCGATTATTTTCCTTGAAAGAGAGATGTTGTCAAGTATTTCATCCAAATGAAGAACAATATGAGAAGGTTATATTTAAAATATGCAGCCTAGAAGACAGCTCTTGAAAGCAGTGGTGTACACCTGATATGTGCTGGAGTTTTGTCTTGGAAATTTGCTCATCAACATCAGTAGTTCAGTAAAAGCTGCAACTTGAAAATAAATTCCTCTCTTGATGTAAAACTATAAAGTTGATTTTACAAACTCTTTTTGTTTTTTGAGGGAATGAGAGCCTTTCCCTTTTTTTTTTTTGTGCACAAGGTTCCACATCATCTTCTTTATTTGAGTTCTTCATAACCACTACATTCTGTTAAAATTCACTTGTATGGTGAAGAGGGTGTTTCTGTAGCAGGCAGGAAAATGCAAGGAGCAAATAATCCTGTGCTCAGAGAGCATGATCAGGAATGGCTTATGCCTTGTCCTCCACTTCTGTAAGGCTGCTTGGAGAGGCAGTTGTGATATTAGCAATATTTTATGGCAAAAGCAGATAATCAAGGTCACCTACTTTGTGAATGCAAAGATGAGCTTAGACTTGTGGCAGATGGTATTCTGTGTTCAACTTGCTGCTTTGTTGAGTATTTGGTAATGATGGGCATCAGTTTTGTTTGTACTTCTTGAGGAGGTTCATGCTTTGTTTTAGTTCCCTCTGGTGATGAACCTGATCCTAACTAAAGCTTCATCAGCAAACTGCTTTAACCTGTACTTCACTCTCCATTGCAAACATGCCTAAATTCCATGCTGTATTTCACATTTGATAAAGGGTTGGTTCTGTCCTTTTTTTAGGTACTCTTCTAGTCATCAAGATGGAAAGCTCAGATTCTAGTGATAAAGGGAGTATTGATCAATCAGAAGCCCAACGTCAGAGCCAGCTGGATCGGTTAGATCGAGAAGAGGCTTTCTATCAGTTTGTGAACAACCTGAGTGAAGAGGACTACAGGCTTATGAGAGATAACAATTTGCTAGGAACACCAGGTAGGTAATGCTTGCCTATGTCCATCCTAGGGTTGCTTGTAGGTAGTTTGTGTCATTTTCTGTTCTCCTGAAGCCCTTTCACCCGTCTATGTGCTGCAGCCGTGTTCCGTGGTAGGAAATAGCTTCTTGCTAATTTGTGCACATTTAAATTCAAGTGGTCCCTTGACTTGTGGACACAAAGGATGGTGTGGATTCATCAGATACAAAAGTCTGGTGTTTGCACAACTTGGCAGGAACACCCAGATTTGACCCAGTTCCAGTTACAAACCTTTAGACAGACAAAAAATCTCCTTTAAGATCTGTGTGCAGATTTTGTGCTGGTGAGGTTAGGAGTTTGTAACCAGGGTAAGTAGTTTGGCATGAAATTCTGCATGGTCATTTTGATGTCAGCTCTCAACCAACTTGTTTAATTTCCTCTTTATGGGTTGATACCTAATCCAAACCATGACTCAAGTAATTTAAACCTTCATTTCCTGCTTGTGGAAGTGTTAACCTCAAATGTTTCACTCTGGACACTAATGGGCATAGGATGACAAAAATTGCTGCTCAGTTGTCGAGGTTACAGAACCAGAGAGCTCATCTCTCTTGAATAGGATGGAACTGTTGGATATTTTAGCTTCAGGAAAACTTACTTGGGATAACGGTGCTAAAGTGTCTGAACTTCCCCATAGCAACGTGCTTGGCAGTGCCATTATGGCAGGATTTAATTTGACAGAACACAAGCAGTGGCTTGTACCTTCTTTAGAAGCTTATGATAATGCTTGCCATACATATATGATTTGGAAATATTTTTGGAAAATTTTGCTTATTTTCTAAGGTGAAATTACTGAAGAAGAGTTGCTGAGAAGGCTACACCAAGTTAAAGAAGGTCCGCCACAGCAAAACAGTGATGAGAATAGAGGTATATACAGTGTTTGTGAAAACTCTTAACTTTAGCACCCCGTACGGACCTTAACTTGAGTGCAGGAGTGGAACAAGTTAAGCCTAGGCAGGTGCAAGGTGAGCTTTGTTTCAAAACTCAGTGAGCCTTATGTCTGATATCTGCTGCAGAGGTCAGTTTGGGACAGATTTCATTCTTAACACATCTCTTACTTCTGTCAAAAAAAAGTTTTGTTTAGGTTTATTTCTTTTTTATTTCATTTTTTTAAGATTGCCTTTCTATCTGCTCCCTTCTGGGATGCTTTTTGGCGATCCCTCTTTTTAAATTCACTATTCTGCATTGCTTTTTTTGTCACCCTTCTGTAGAGATTGATGGGGGATGCTCAGACCTGACCACTGGGGTTCATTCTTCAGTGAGACAGATTTGCTCTAAAGCTTTGCAGGTGAAGGTTCAGGACAAACTTAATTCTCTGTTTCACGGTCAATAGATCACTTAATTGTTTGGAAAGGAAAACACAGAATATTGATGTGTTATGACACCTAACATGTGACTTTCCATTTACTTATGATAGAAAATACATGTTCTTATGATTACTTGTTTGCTCTGTGATGGCTGCAGCCTATCTGTCCATATTGGAGCAATGTCCACTCCTGCTCCCTTAGAAGAGCTCTGGTAGTTACAGAATTGTCACACTGCCTGTGAAGCCACAGTAGCACTTGGTAGGATTCAGCACTTCTAAATTGTCACTTGTTAAGCTAAGCAATTATGTTCTTGGAAAAGATGACTCCAAAATTAGCTCAGTACTCTAATTTTGGTAGTTCCCTGTCTTTTTCACAGGTGCAGAGTCCGCAGAAGATGTTTCAAATGGAGATTCTATAATAGACTGGCTTAATTCAGTCCGACAGACTGGAAATACAACGCGAAGCGGGCAGCGAGGAAACCAGTCCTGGAGAGCAGTGAGCCGGACTAACCCAAATAGTGGCGACTTCAGATTCAGTTTGGAAATAAATGTCAACCGTAATAATGGGAACACGAATCCAGAAACTGAGAATGAGCCATCTGTAGAGCCTTCCAATGGGGAGGATTTGGAAAACAGCCAAAGTGACTCTGAAATTCCAAGGTCTGAATCACCGTCTGTAAGGCAGCCTGGATCAGAAAGGAGCGGTGCGGAGGAGCTGACGGCTGAGGAGGCTTCCCCTCCTAGAGGGCAGAGGAGAGCCAGGAGTAGGAGTCCAGAGCAGCGGCGGACGCGGGCTAGGACTGATAGAAGTAGGTCACCTATTAATGCAGTGAGCGAGGCCCCTCGCAGGTCTCATCACAACACATCATCTCAAACACTTGACCACTCCTCAGCGGGCGAGGCTGAGGGCAGCTCTAGAACCAGGCAGCACGTGACGTTAAGGCAGCACACAGTGGGGACTGAGGTGCCAAGTGAAAACGCAGTTCTGTTTTCCCCCCCTGAAACGAGGCCTGCTCCTCAAGCAGCGGGTTCTTCAGAAACCACCGGCGCCAGCGAGTCCACGGCTCCTGGGCAGAGGCCTCCCACCATAGTGCTGGACCTGCAGGTGAGAAGAGTTCGCCCGGGCGAGTACCGGCAGAGGGACAGCATAGCCAACAGGACCCGCTCCCGGTCCCAGACCCCCAACAACACGGTCACCTACGAGAGCGAGCGCGGAGGCTTCCGGCGCACCTTCTCCCGCTCGGAGCGCGCCGGCGTGAGAACTTACGTCAGCACCATTAGGATTCCCATCCGTAGGATCTTAAACACGGGCCTGAGCGAGACCACGTCGGTCGCCATCCAGACCATGCTGAGGCAGATCATGACGGGCTTCGGGGAGCTCAGCTACTTCATGTACAGCGATAGCGATGCGGATCCCAGCGGGCCGGCTCCCAGTCAGAACGTGGAGGCTGCCGAGCCGCAGAGCGGAGGCGGGGGCGCCTCGGGCAGTGAGAATGCAGATGTTAGCTCAGGGGAGGTGTACGAGGGCGGGCACGAGGCTAGCTCAACATCTGGTGCCAGGCGGGAAGGCCGGAATATGAGGGGCTCGGTCACTTTTGAAGAAAGCGGTTCTCTACCATTCCTTAGCCTTGCACAATTTTTCCTACTCAACGAAGACGACGACGACCAACCGCGAGGACTCACCAAAGAGCAGATTGACAACCTAGCCATGAGGAATTTTGGTGAGAGCGACGCTCTGAAAACCTGCAGCGTGTGCATCACGGAGTACACGGAGGGCAACAAGCTGCGCAAGCTGCCGTGCTCGCACGAGTACCACGTGCACTGCATCGACCGCTGGCTGTCGGAGAACTCCACCTGCCCCATCTGCCGCAGAGCAGTCTTAGCTTCTGGCAACAGGGAGAGCGTTGTCTGAAGGAGAGCTCAGTCCGTGGCCAGGCAGCTGGTGTGATAGTGATGGGCAAAGAAGTCACTTCCTTTATGGCCACTTTTTGAGTGGTACCTCAATGTATAGTAATGACTCGGAGCGAATCTTCCCTCGTCGAAGCATTTTCTCTGGATCCAAGCTTTGGGAATTGGAAAATTTCTTTAATTAGGCTTTTCGAGTTCTAGTCGGTTTGGGTGTTCAATTTCACTTGTCCAAAGACATCTCCCCACTTCAAAATATTTTTTTTCTCTGTGAAGAGTATTAAGTTCTTTCTCCTGCCCATCCCTTGCCATCCCAGCCCAATAAACAGTTTGTCCTCAAGATTGTGCTTCTGAGGAGTTCTTTGAGAAGTTATCCCAGCTCAGTGTCCATGAGTCATAGAGGAATTTTTTGCAAGAAATCCAACTCTCTGAAAAAAATAATATTAATTTAATTGCACATTTGAACATACTTTTAATTTTTCTCCTGGCTTAATATTGGACATGTCTGTGTAAATAACACTAATGTTAGCCCTTTCCCCATCACTATGGCACGCTGTAGGATGAGCTGTTAGCGTAATTGGGATATTTATCTTGTTGTGGAAATATAAGAATTGCCTATGCTTGTTTAAATAAAGGAAAAACAAAAAACAAATCTGTTTTAAAATTGTAAAGCTTTTTTGTAGAAGCTCAGTACTTTTCCAATGCACTGTTGTACTAACGCATTAAGAATTAAAATTGTACCATGCTTAGAAATCAAGAATGCTTTTCATACAGACCCCACCACACAGAGAGCAAAGTGAACATGAGAGAGCTGCTTTTGTGACTGTGTACCTGTCAAGAGCAGTGCATATCTGTACTATTTATGTGAACAGCTACTGTAACATAAAAACAGTTGGATTAGACATTAAATTGCATTTAAAAAAAACGGAAATTAAATGTTATAATTGCAGTGTTTTGGCTCAGTAATGCCACAAAAAAAAAAAGATAAAAATTAGAAACTGTTCTAATGGCTGGTTATTTCTTGGTATGGTTGCAAATATGGAATAATACAAACCCATGTGTACTGGCTCATTCACTGAGCTTTGTGCCCGATTTTTCTATGGGCTTTTGCTCTCAGTTTTGGAGGCAAAATTGTAACTTCAGCAAACAAGTATGGACAGGTTGGTTTTTAGTTCTTCACGAGCTTCAACTGTATTGGTAACTTCTGGATGTGGTAGCCTGTGGTGCAAGTGCCACAGGGAATAACTGGAAAGCACATCATTAGTATTGGGTTATATTTAAAAATGAGTGCACTTAAATGTGTAGCAGATTCGTGAGAATAACAGTAGAAACCCAACAAGCTCTTTATATTCCTATTGGACAGAATGGAAATGAATTTGCTTTTATAATTATGCACATGACGTGTTGCAATTGAGAATTGGGGAATGTACCTTGACTCTCATCAGAGAGTGTGTGTGTGTGTGTGTGTGGGGAAACATCCTTCACCCTCAGTGACCCCTTCTTTGTTTTATTCTCTAAGATTTTGGGTTTTTCCTGGCTTGTATCTGCAATGGGAAAGTAGTTTTTATTTATTTCCACTCCAGGGCAGTAGTTCTGAAGGGATATGAGCTGCTCTTGCTGGCTGGGTGGGAAATGTTGCTTGTTCCTCAGATGACAAAACCAAAGCTGGCCTTTCTCTTTTTTCCTAATTAAAACACATTTTTGGTGTTTTGTAGTGGTGGGTGCATAAGCTATAATCGCTGCTCTAAGCCATTTTAACATCTCATCAGTTAGTTCAGGATTCCACAGCATCCCAAAATTCCTATTTTTTTTTATTCCCTCTCCATTTTGTGCTGTTGTTTCGGTGGGAAGCCCTGACTGGCTCTTGAGCTCCCTTTCCTCCTGGTGGGCCGTGCCACCGTGGCAGAGGGAACACGAGGCTTCTTTGGGAACAGAACAATCAGTCTGCTCACGGGTTTGCTTCTTTTCCTTGGACACGCAGCACTGCAAAATTGGAGCTGGCTCTTGAGTCCGGGTGCTGGGTTCTCTGTGCCAAAATTTCACAGCAAAATAACACTTCTGAATTTCCCAGAGCAAATACTCGCTCTCATTTGCGGTTTCCAGACTTACAGAATGTAGAATTAGAAGGGAAAAAAAATCCCTCTCTACACGAGTACTGTGTTAGATGTTGAAAGTCAGAGATGTTCATCTCAGATCAGAGCTGGTGACCACCAGGAAGGGACCCCATTATCCCAAACCCACACAAAGCACGGCTGTGGTTCCTGTCACCCCACCTTTTCCATGGAATTTCCACCTTGGTAGAACTGCCCTCACGGTTTTGTTGCACCTACTAGCATGTCTTAACACTTTATCTTTCTGTAACAAGAGCAACTAATAAAATCTTGGAGGTTTCCCAAACAGTTACCAAGAACAAATAATTTAATCTCAATTTGGGAGACCTTGAACGTTCTCCCTGGTTTCTCTGCCTTTCGCAGTGCTGAGTGTGCTAAAGGGGCTGGGGGCTCATTGTCTGCAGCAAAAACTTCTTTATGTAGCTCAGTTAATTAGGGTAATTAAATTTCTATTTAGCTAAATTTAGATTGGAGTAAGGAAAAGCCAATATTAACATTTCAGTTGCTTGCAAAATGTGAAACACTTTCATAATTAGACTAATTTACATTTCATGAATTATTTTTATAGTGAACATGTGTATTTAGCTCTTCCCTCAGTTTTTTTGTTTTTTGGTTTTTGGTTTGTTTTTTTTTTTATTTCTGGAGGGACTCAGCATCTTCACTCGTGCCTGGAGGGGTATGAAGGGTTAAAAGGGTGAGTTTTGGCATTCTGATTTGTGGGAATGATGGCTTTGGAGAGGCAGAGCTGTGGCCTGGGTCACAGTGCCACCGTGTGGGATGTGCCTTCAGCACCAGCGGGATTCCTTGCAGCTTTTATTGAGGTTTCGAAGGATTCTCCTCGTCATTGCCCGACTCAGGTGTTACCATGGGGTTTTTTCCCCAAATGTCCAAACTCCTGCTGGGAATTCCTGGTGCGTGAGTTCCATTCCTTTGTGACAGGACAGACCCCTACCCACAGCAAGGCCAAAGCTTGTGACAAATGCACACTTTTAATAATGACAGTTAACAGTTAACGAGTTACTGTTAGTTCAGATTTTACTTCATGTTATGAACCAATGCAGACTTGTGGGTGCTCACTTTAATTTTTTTTTAATTTGGGGCTTTATCTGTGAAAAGACTGAATTCCTGGTGCTGGTTGGATTTCCTTTTCTCGTGCATATCTTTTATTTCTTCCAACAAGTCGGGTTTTTTGCAGGGAGCTTGGAGGCAGTTGAGTTGTTTTAAAAACGATTTGATGATGTAGGTATTTCATGCATAGAAATCAGGGAATTTTAAAGGCTTTTTGCAGGCACAGCAGCTGCAGGACAGGACACCCAGGGGTCTGAAGGAGCTGTAATTGTCCATTGTGTGGACTTGCAGACCAAGGGGTTTCCCACCAGAGCTGGCACAATGGCCCATAATGAGTGGCATCCCAGTTTCCTGTCACTTGTCTGGGTTATGCAAATGTGGGACTCCAAATGCTCCTGTGGATAAACACAAGCCAGTGGTCTCATAATGATGGATAATGCAAGGGGGAGGAGAGGTGCAGGTAAGGCTCAGGGGGTTCTGAACAAGCCTCCATCCCTGTCTCACCCTTCATTTGGGATGTTGCATCCGTGCAATGGTGTCCTGGTTTGGGAAAGGATCTTTGAGCAGGCCAGGAGCCGAGGAGGAGCCCAGCTGGAAATGTCTGCCTGCTCCTCTGCCTTCTCCAGGAGGAGGAGCTTTGGGTGAAAGTTGGCTTGGAGCCACATGGAGGGAATTTATAACAACTTCAGAAATATTTCCAGCCCTTATGTACAGTAGGCTTTTTGTTTACCCTCGACTGGGGGGGTTGGGGAAAGCAGGAGGCTGAAGAGACACAATTAATGGTAACGTACCCAAAGTACAAATAAGTGGTGGTGTGTTTAAAAAAGAGGTTTGCATCTGTTACACCAGGGCTTCCCAACCTCTCAGATAGACTGCATCTCCTTTTTCTTTATAGGAAAACACAGCGTTGAATTGATTTGATTTATATCTGGTTTTATTCCCTTTAGTTACAATATTTGAGCCCCTTTCTGAATTTCACTCTGCTGGGAAGGCTGTTGATTGGGAAGCCCTGAATTCCACTGTGAATGTAACACTTTTCTTTATTATTTTTTCAATTTTTTATTTTTATTTTTATTTTTTGTACAGTGCTTTACATTTGTTTATTCTGGACTTGCTTAATACAAACTGGTACTCAGAGGTTGTTGGACACAGTCTGACCAGGTTTGCCAGCTAACACTTAGGAGTTTGTTCCCTATGTAAGGTGTTATAATGCAAATTTAAATAGACTCAATAAAATGCATGAAGTGTTCATTTTGTGCTGGATCATCACTCCTTGGGTTTATTCTTATGGTGGGAATGCAGTGGAGTACAGGGTGGTGGATGTGGCAGGAATTTATTTCCTCCATGCATCTTTCCCCTTCAGGCAGAGAGGACGAGCTGGAATGGTACAGAATTAGCTCCTCAGAAGAATTTCTTGCATTAGGACATAAAGCTGAAGAAATAAATCCCTCTATGTCCCAGACTTTGTAAATCTGGCAGTGGATAATGCAGGATACAAAAGCAGCATCTCCAAGTTGTCTTCCAAGGAAAAGCTGTGACTCCAGGTGCCCATTGGAACCAGGGGCCATTCAGGGCTGTCAGGGTTGAGCCTCCCTGCAAATCCAGCCAGGATTCCGGGAGAATCTCCCATGTGGCTTAAAGCTCCAGCCTAAAATTAGCAGCTGAGGTACGTGCAAACACTTGCTGGAGTGGGAAGGCAGATTTTTAGGGTGTGGGAAGCTGTATTTATTATCTGTGCTTCCCTCACCTCAATCCCGTTCCTTAGGAAGCAGGAGCTGAGAGCAGCACGATGGCATTGGTGCAGAAGAAGGGACAGGAAGGTGTTGTGTCCCTAAAAAAGGGCATTTTGGGTGCCAGGGCAGGGGCTCAGTGTCACTGATGCTCCTCAGCACTGCCAGTGATGCTGTTCTCCAGCAAGGAGAAGTTGTGGGCTGCTCCAGGGAGGCATGGAATTGGGGTTCTGCTCCAGTTCCACTCTCCATAAAGAGAGCTCTTGGATAAAAGTTTTTTTCTCATTCCCACAGGCTTCTTGCTCTTTGAGTGTTCAGTTCAGTCTGACACTGGGTGTTTAACACAGGTGTTAGCTTTGATTTCAATGAGTTTATTCATGAAGTGACTCCCACGCTTTGTGTATCAGGAGCTCTTTACCTGTCTCCAGCCCCTCATCTCCCTGCAGGAATTCCTTCAGTTTGGGTAACCCTGGAATTGTTCCTCAAAAACTTTTGATCAACCCCTGGATTGCTTAAAGAGCCCAAGCCAACCTTGGCGCTCGTGTGTGGCTGACTTCATCCCTCTGTTTATTTTCTTTAATATATTTGAGGTCTTTGTCCTGACCTGTAGAACTTTATATAACCTTGTTCCTCCCTCTTGGTGCTTAAACTCTGTAACCTTTTACGTTGTCTCACTCCTCCCTTCAGGATATATTTCCATGGCATATCCAGACCTTCTCAGAGGAATGTTCGGCTGCTTTGCTCGTCCTGCTGCTGGGTGGGAGGAGAAAAGTTGTGTTTGGTGACCTTGTGCATCCCAGAGTGATGGGGGGGCAGGAATAGCCATCCTTTTGGGGGCTTCTCCCCTTTTCTGACCCCTCCACAGTGGGATGAAGTGTTTGGAAAGAGAAGGGGGGAGAACAGCACAGAGCAGCTGCTCCTCCTTGCCTTTCCCAGCTGTTTCAAGTGTGATTGAAGCTGTTCTGGGACTTTTAACACAATAAATCTAAACTCAGCTGTGTTGTGGCTCCCTAAACTCTTACAATAAATTTATATAGGGGAAATTAACCCTACTTTTTAGTCTTAGACTGGCTG